TAAATGCTCTCTCTCTTCTGTGAAACCCTTCAATTACCTGATTTGTTCCATTTTCACTACATGACCCGACTAACAACAGATGGAAAATAAGCCCCTAGTAAACACATATTACTTGATAGAAAGAGTATTAATTAGAGAAACTATGGGGGATAGTTGAGTGATTTCCCATCTCTGTAATTTCAGAACAGCTGTGAAGCTTTTTATTTTCTAGAAGGCTTCTCATACCAGCTTTTATAAACCCCTCTCCTCAATTTCCAGTCCCTAAGCAAGTAGCCTAGATACACACTGCCTCTTATTGTTAATCTTGACCTTCCACTCATGAGAGATAATCTTTCCTGATGCTTGATCAAAAACCATTTCAGTTCTTTGGGTATCTTGCAAAATAACTCATACCTTATACTTTACAATTCCAATAAAAATGTAACAGATAAAATGATCATCAATTTCCAGCTGCATTATTTAGCAGAAGATTGGTATTCTCCCATTTTGCAAATAATTGAGAAAGTTTGAAGGAAGACAACACAAAACATAGTTACCAATAAATTCATGTAAGAAGACCAGTGAGGCGATGTAGCATGACAGACTGAGTAACTCTGCCACTATCATGAGCCAATGCCATGTCTGGATGGTCAGTGCCACCATCAACAGTTCAGTGAGGATCAAGGATGTGAAGGAAATTGCCACAATGTGGACAAATTCAGACTCAAAAAGCAGAAGTGCACCATACATAATTATGCTGCCTGAAATGAGAGGAAATGAAAGGAGTTACAGCATCAACCAATATGACAATTGTTGTTGACTATCTATAATGTACATGGTTGAATGGAAAATAATTTCTCCAAATGATTCTTGAACTATTCTGAAATAATCAAAAGCTTTGAAAATTGCAGAGTTCAGACACACAAAAAGATTTTTTTTGTGTGACAATACAATGCTAGGACTTATACCTCAGGAAAACAACTTCATTAAATGGCTAAATTCCTTTTTATTGAGATTAGCTATAACAGAATCTTGCAAATCTGATTGTGCTATGCCTTTTCCTCCTTCTTATAATTCACTGAATGAGGGAGGCATCTGCCAAAGCCACTTCTGAATGTTATCTCTTGTTCTAGACTTAAAAAAAATGTTTCAGTTCCTTTTGCCTAGGTAAATAATTTCTGCATATCTCAATCCAGGTCATCTTTCCTATGGTCTACACCTTTCTCACGAAAGAAATGGAAACATTTCTTCCAATCCAACTTCACACCATATCATTCATAATTTTATGCATATCTACAGTATAGATGAAACTTTCTAGCTTAAGGCTCAGAAGGATTTGTAATTGATTCTTAGCTATAATCCAAAGCATACTTAAGAAGCTAGGCCCATTAAACTCAGCAGGAACTTACATTCACTGACACACACACACAAACACACTGAAGATAGCTGAGCATGTAAGGAGATAGAATGGGAAGACAAGAGTGACTTTGCATTCTGCTTCTGGCTGATCAGAGAATGGCTTTACAGCATCCTAGAGATTCAGCTGCAGACATAAGTCATGACCTCAGCATGAGTAATCTACACTGATGAGTAATCCGCAGCCTAATTTGAAAAGCAATTTGAGCAGTGACTCAAGATTAAGCCATAAAATACAGATTCAGAGAATAACCTTTCCACCATCTGGGAAGAGCTCGATTTGGGGCCATTCTTGGACAATAGCTACTAGCCAAATTGCATGGTGTGATCCATAAAGGGAGTGAAGTCATTCGACCCACAGAACGTAATAGGAGAAGAGTCTTGGCTTAGAAATCTTTCCCACGATGTCTCATTTTTTCTGACTGATCAGAAGCTGTGTGTTCTAGATGAAGGTTTTCATATTGTTTCCAGCATTGATATAGCCCTTGAAAATAATTTCTGTTAGAACGTTGTCTCCCACATCTCTATTATCATCCCAACATGTTTATCTTCCTGAATTTGCTTCTCTAAAGTATCAAAGATGGGACAAGTGGTTGTCCTTGTGAATGACAAGATGTACGTGAAAATGAGTGGACAACGGGTTGCAATGTTCGTTTGCTTTGCATTCAGAGTACAAGGGCAGAATCCCTATCTTACTTCCTGAGTTAAGCCATTACTACGCTATCTTGTAGCCAGAAAACTTATTTCAAGACAAAGTCATTTTAATTCCTTCGCTGAATTCAGTTACTTCTTGGGTTCTAGGCATGTCATTCTTTTTTTCTTCTGGTGATCAGCAGAAATGCCGCTGATGAAAGGCAAATCCCTAAAAAGTACAACTTCAAGATGTAACTCAATATGAATAGTAAGCATGCAGCAAAGCTCTAGGAACTATAGCTTTGGGCTATTTGAAGCACTGTGAAGCTGCAGTACTTAGTAGAAAAATGGAGAAAGGATTATACGACTGGAGCACCTAAGCTGGACGAAACAGTTTTGGTATGCAGCATTTGATTTATGGATTGGAGGAACCTAAGACAAGTAACAATGATCTGCCTTGGAGCATCTGGCAGAAGGGACTGTAATGGTCCTCATCAGAATCACTTTAACATACCAGCAGTTTCAAGGTGGAAATGTAAGAACAGAACCAAGGAAGCTTGTTGGGTTCATCTCTGCTGCATGTAATTCCATCATTGCAGAAAAGGGTATCATAGTTCTGCCAATGGTAAGCCTCAGGTGACATAGACCAGGGGTTCTCAACCTTGGCACCTTTAAGACTTGTGCACTTCAACTCCCAGAATTCCTCAGCCAGCTTTGCAGAAAAAGGAATCATAGTTCTGCCAATGGTAAGCCTCAGCTGACATAGACCAGGGGTCCTCAACCTTGGCAACTTTAAGACTTGTGGACTTCAACTCCCAGAATTCCTTAGCCAGCAAAGCTGGCTGAGGAATTCTGGGAGTTGAAGTCCACAAGTCTTAAAGTTGCCAAGATTGAGGACCCCTGACATAGACCAACAGGAGTCCATCTGATCCTATGAAATTGTTGATCCTTGCTCTATCTGTGTTCACACTGGCACTAAAAATAAATCTGCTCTTGGTCTGCATATCTCTGGCTTACCTCCAGACCACTAGTTTTATCAGGCACTCTACAAGCTTTCTGTTGAGAAGGAAAGCAAGACTGCAGCCAACCTCTGGAGAAAAACAATCAATCAACAGAAGTTAAATGGAACTCTTGGTGGTCAGTGAAAGCAAATTCGAAACTCTCCAAAATTTGCCAGCTCTCTTTATAACTAGTGAAACTAAAAAATAGCTGAATTTCTTTTTTCTCAAAGAATTATATGAAGCCAAATTTGGAGAACAATTTATTTCAAATTTTCAGAAACACTCTGATGAATAAAGGAAACCTCTTACCTTGATAGATACTTATTAAGACCCAGATCAAAAACGTCTTATAAGATAATGGCCTTCCCTAAAATTTGAAAGGGCAGAAAAATGAAAATGAAATCTTTCTCGTATATGTTAATCACAAAGCCACATGCAGAAATTTGAAAGGAATAGAAATGGAAGAAATTTGAACCTTCAGGAGATCTTTGTAGAGTTCTGGATACAACATGGCCACGACTGCTTTGACATCTTTGTCCAGCACTAGAGAGAATACTGGAAACATGGTGTAGAGGGTAGAATATCTAAATGCAGGAACACAAGAAATGTCAGCTGAAATTTATAATTTTTTTCCACTTTGGGTTTATTTTAGAAGACTTTCTGCTTTCTTTCTCTTTCTTTCTTTCTTTCTTTCTTTCTTTCTTTCTTTCTTTCTTTCTTTCTTTCTTTCTTTCTTTCTTTCCTTCCTTCCTTCCTTCCTTCCTTCCTTTCTCCCTCCCTCTCTTTCTCTGCTCTGCTCTGCTGATCGGTTGTCTTTCTCAGCTTGTGTTACTGGAAGCTTTGAATTGGAAAAGATCAATTCCTGGGACTGTCTGAGTACATATTAGATACTCTGCTACTCAGCTACTAACTTTCCCCCATTGCTAATGTCTAAGAACTGCTTGACCTCTAAAATATACATTATGTGCTGCAAAAATGTGGTAACCAGATTTGCAAAAAAATGCACATGTACATATCAAGAGTTGGAACTGCTTGCATTTTCTTGGCCAGATTATATTTTGAACCAAACCTCAAAGTATGCTGCTATATTATGTGTGAAATGGTCCCCAGATTCAGGACTTAATTTTATCCCAAACGCAACAGGAATCAGTCTCAAACCTTCCCTATGCTGCTGGGCTTTCACCCCAAAAATGGTGAGGTGGGACACTGGCATTCATTTTATTTTCTTTCTGCAAGAATCATGTTATGAAAACATGGCTGCATGATTTTGTTTACTTAAAAAAAATCTGTGCCCTGCCTTTTGCTTTCAGAAAAGACACCCCACCCCCCCCGGCCAACATTTTATACCATTGCTTCTGGGATACAAAAGTTGCTTTAACAACTAAAATTGGTCCTAATGGGAACCATGTGCTTTTAATGGTTGCTGGATTAAAGTTGCTTTGAAACTGTGCATCTTCAAAGTGTCCTGCTTCATTCCGATAACAGCAGTAGAGGCAGGAAGGAAAGAGCACAACATTTTAGCCTGTGCTACCCTTGCCATGACCGCTTTCAAACTCAGGAAGGCTTCAAACAAATCTTATTATACATTTTAAAGATACCACAGGGAATGGTTTGGCTCTTACCCAATGATGAGAAAGCCTTGATAGAGCGGAACAGAAGCAAAGTAAAACACCGAAGAGAAAACTGCCTATGGAATAAAATACAAGGAATTATTAGGCTTCAAAGCAAAAAGAAAATAATGACAACTATCTATTCAGCTATCTCTTAATAGAAAGAGTTGGTGCTCCATCATTTGTCAAATAAGGCAAGTAGTGAAGATAAACACTCAAGACTCAGGAATGAGAAGAGACCACAGGTGGCTTCTCTACCCACAAAGATTTGGCAATTTAGAAAATTGTTCATGGCAAATTAAATCCTAATGAAAGAGGGATTTTAAAAATATGGGTTCCAAAAGATATAATGCCTACTCAATAATTCAAAA